GGGGGGGCATTTGACTGGCTCCCTCGGTAATATATGACTCTCCACCCATTCCCTACATTAGAACTCTCTTTACCTGCTCTCCCATTCTAGCGTCTTAATCTCGAATTGTCGCTTGTAGTTCAGCCTTTCAAACCATATTTCTCTGAAGTTCCCATTCGTTCCCTTTCCCGTAACGAACACAGTCTTTTTTGAACCCTTTCACACTTCGAGACAAAAACTATATTTTTCAGTAATAATCGTTCTTCCTCCTTTTCCAGTATGAGAAAACGATGCCTTCTTTTGTTCCTTTTTATGTGTAGGAAATCTTTGGCACAGAACAGTCTTTTTATTATAGAATATCGCTATAGGTTTTAAACAAGGGCAAAACTCAGTCTTACCTTTAACGTTACTGTCAGGTTTTGAGGCACTGGGCGCGGAATTCGTTACTGGAATCGATTCACTTCCGTTAAGCGCCGTTGCGTTACTTTCGCCACAGCCTCCTTTGTCACTGCTTTTCAAATCTCCACCGGTAGAGAAGATTCCCTGGAAACGATAGATTGTGACCGTGAACACAAAATCAACTATAGAAATGCCCAAAAGATATAGAGTAACTCAGTTATGAGGGCGCGAACGAAATAAACCAATCAGGAGAGCGAAAACACGGACATGTAAACAGTGAAAAGCGCGAGAAAAAGTGTCGTCGGATACAAGCGCGGGAAAGCGTGTAACCACTGCAAAGCGCGGGAAAACCTGTAACCAGTGTAAAGCGCGGGAAAACATGTAACCACTGCAAAGCACAGGAAAAAAAGCAACTAGTGACAAGCGTGGGAAAACGTGTAACCAGTGCAAAGCGCGGGAAAACAAGGAACTAATGCCAAGCGCGGAAAAGCAAGCAAAGAGTTGCAAACGCGGGAAAAGCTACACGTCACAAACTCTGGAAATACTTTTTCTCCTTATTCATTAACATCATGAATTAAACTTAAAGTAAAATACGATATATTTCTTTTTCACTTTAGTTCTGAGCCTGCGCATGGTTTTGCTGCTATAACCTGCAAAAATTTGGAAAAGCGCGGCAGAACAGATGCTTACCGTAGGCGCACTTTCCTCGAGTGGCGAGTTCAGTAAACTGCCAGCGGTGTTTCGTCTGGCTGTCTGACGAACAGGTCTGAATTCCCGTGATGGAGAGTACAGAAGTTTACCTGACAAGCGAGCAATAAAGGTCTGTTCGTAATCATGAATTCAAACAATCATCGTGGTCAAGTGACCCACGAGAAAAAGTGCAACAAGAAAGCATCGAAGAAATTTGGGACAACTTGGCCTCACCGTAGAACGACCATAACGTTATCTTAGCGTGACCAGCATGTAACCCTGGTGTGACACAAGCGTGACCTACATGTAATGCTGTAAGCATGACGCAGGGTAAACTAAGCAAATGTTGGGCCTCTGCATGGTTTCTCAGTAAAACAACTGATCTGTGTAACATATTTTTTGTACTAACTTACTTTTCGGATTCCAAGTTGAATCGACTTTTTCGCTTTTTTTCTTTCTCTGACCAGGCTTCCAGGAATTGGCTTTGTCCTCGTCCGTCATCTCGGCGAGTGGTGGATAAACTACACAACGAAAACACACAAAAAAAAATCACACTCGAGGGAATTTTCAATGAGAAAGCGAACGTTTTTTCAACACCCAAGTAATTCTCATGGCCTGTACATGTACGAGCAATGTTAGTAGATAAGGCGAAGTATAAGCTTCTAAAGAGACAAATATCAGACCGCATAGGAGATAAAGTGCGATGTTTGGTTTGACCTTGAGCATTCCTTCATCTCACCGTATTTATTGTCGTGGAAAACGTCCGAGTCTCCGAATCCAAGATCTTCTTCGTCACTGCCTCCTTCAGAATTACTCTCGCTTGCAGCTCGCTTAGAGTTCAACTGAGAGGTACTGGGCGCCATACCAGACGGAGAAGACTGGGCACCGCTTGATTTTGGAGTGGTACTGGGAAGAGTCTGAAGAGACGAGGAGCCAAGCGCACTAACACCCGCGCCCGCGCTCAGACCAAATAAAAGTGTTTGGGCCGCTTCAATTTCCTCCCTGTAAAGAATAGAACAGGAAAAAATAAAAAAAATCCTATCACCAGAAATGACTGGGCTTAGCCCACTTAACGTATTCATATGGCTTCAAGATGACGTCACAATTTCGGCACACTCGTAGCTTTACATTCAGAACAGCAACTTACTTTAAATCAGCTGACGAGGTCCAGTCGAACCCTGCCACAGGCTGCTGCGTCCGAGGGTCTGATCCTGTGGCCTGGAGACCATACGTAGTTCTCATGCTCCCTTGTGTAGTTCTCGACTGCACGGGGATGAGGCTGGGTGTTCCTCCGAGACTGAAGTCGAGCTCATTATCCGACGTATCGCTGTTGCTCTCTGGCAAGTAAGAAGGGTTCTTGTTTGACATGTTGTTCACTGAAAGAGATACAGAAAGTGATTCGTGAGAAACAAGTTCAAAGACAAAGCATTGTTCAACTCTGTTTTGAAGTCAGAATTTCGATCACAGACGTTATAATGTAGGTAGATTTGTATTTTTTTTTTGTTCGTCTTGTATCAAGGGCTTTTTGTGGTTCTCTGTCTTCCTCCTTCTAAATTCCAATTTAATCTGAAGGACAAGCGCATGAGATTCTAAATAAACTAATTTTGGACTCCCGACCGAACGGTCTGGGTACTAGCCCTGGCCGGTGTCATTGTGTGTTCTTGGGCAAGACACTTTACTCTCACGGTACCACTCTCCACCCGGGTGTATAGATGGGTACCGGTGAACTTAATGCTGGGGGTAACCCTGACATACACTAGCAACCCATCCAGGGGGAGTAGAAATGTTTCTTGTCGCTTCATGCTACAGAAACCGGAGGTAACCTCTGCCTGTGTGGATCACGGACTTGACGTAAACTTCACTTTTATCCGAGAAATTTAACCAACCCTGCAAGCCTTGATGTTAAGCATTCAAATTCTCCTTAATGGTCTCCATTCATTTTTTCTAACACTAGTTGGGAGAATTTGGCAAAAAAAAAAATCCTTACTTGACAGTTTCAGCCGAAGAGGTCCTTGTTTAGATGGAGAGCAGGAATACGAGCCATCACCAACGTCACTTCGTTCAGTCATGTCTTGTGACATCAGTGGCTGGAACCCCTTCTTTCCTGTTATCTTTCTACTGCTACGATTGTTGTTACTGCCGAGAAAAACAAATACACTGGTGGACAGCTCAGCATTGTATCCCTAAGGCATAAGAAACCGTCCTTAAGTACTTTTAGCATTATCTGTTTTGAAAACCAAAATAAAACACCACTACATATCACACCTTATCACTTATGGATATTTATTTGCCTAGTTCCCGTGCGGCTTCCTCCCAGACCTTCACGGTCAATTGATTTCGGTGACGTATCCGAAATGAATGGTCAGGAGTTCATTTTTGCCTCGGACCACGTGACCCGAAACGACTGACCGAAGCCTAGGAACTAGACAAGATTTTATTACAACAAACCATAAATAAATATACAAAAAAAACTGGACTTGCATTGCATTGCTTGCATGTACAAGCAAGGAAGCTCACACTTGCAAATTTTGGAACAACAAGGCTTAGCTTAGTTATGAATTGGTTCATGCATTTTCGTTTAAAGGTAACCATATGTACCTGGCCAAGGGCATCCTTCTGGTCACTTTGACAGATTCACAAATGGAACGGGGACGCGATAACAAGCATAACAGTCGTAATATCCTCTCTACCCCACCTCACTGAAAAAAGCGCGAGGCTGAACAGTTATCAAACTTGTACTCGTTTTACCAACCTGATAATTTTGCCATTGGAAACAACAAGCTTAAGACTAGAATCCGCTGATGAACTAAGCTGCATTTTGCCTCCACCCAGCTCCGTCTCACGCGCATGCCCATCCTGAGTGCGCGGAATCTTGAGCTTTAGTGAGGGAAGACTCGCGGAAAGAGCATCACCTTTTCGTTTAAGATCCAACCCCGCATTAGCAATTCGAATCACAGGCTTGCTATCATCCAGCTCGCATTTTAAACGTTCTGTAGTGTTTTTAGGGCTGCAGGCATTGTAGTTGTCCGGTTTTGGTGCTTTGATTTTAAGGCGCGGTAGAGCTCCGTCTGCCAGTACCGAAGCCAGAGGACTTCCGCTCTCTCTTTGATTGTTTTCATCAATTTTAGGCGTCGAAGGTCTTGACGACTTGCCCGACTTCTGAAATGGAATCAAAAGAAAACATCGCACTCATTGTAGCGGTAAATCTACACCACAGTTCACTGCGTTCTCTGTAGAGTACTCTAATTGACAACAGACCTTATCACGGTTTTCGACGCCATCCTGACGGGTAGGCAAAGCGGTCAGAAATTACAGTGTTTGTATGGGAATCCGATGGCAAATAACTTTTTCCAAAATTGAATTTTACACACTTTGGGAATCGCAACGATAAAATACTAAGTTTAAAGGAAGTAGCGTGACTAGAAGACGCTGCTAAATTTTTCAAAAAAAAAAAAAAAAAACGAAAGCCTTGATAAGCGCTCAAGATTCCTATAGAAGTCGATAACAAATAACCTAATTGTTTTAGTATAAATCTGCTGGTCGTTGAAAACCTAATCTAAATCCTCTTCACAGACACATGTAAACATTGATATCAGCAACGATCGCTCTGTAAAGGACTTATGATCAGTTAACTAGCCATACATGTACCTCAGTCTTTTTCAGTTCTTTGGCGACAGACTTGAGCAATTTTCCCGGTGATATACTATCGGGGATAAAGAACTTGTGATGCTTTGTTAATGCCTACAGGTAGAAAGCAAAATCTAAAATCAGCACTGAAACAGGCACTGAAAACAGACTACGATGAGTGTTTCATTTTTCTCAGGGTTAGCTGAGTAGACGAAAGACATGAGCGCGTTTGATGAGGACACGTGATTCCTCAATGAGGACACGTGATTCTCGCAAGAGGACAACGATTGGTCTCACAGGCCCCATCCACACTATGCCAGAGAAATTTGAAAACAGAGGTTTCGCTCTGAAAAGGCATCAAATATTTTCCGTTCACACTACGTCTGAGGAATTTAAAAACGCAACAATAACTGGTTATTTTTGATTTGTGTTTGAGGAAAACTCGGCTAGAAAAGTCACATAGTTATCGTGACTACATCGTTGTCAAAAAGTTCCGTTTTCAAAATGTTTTCCGTCTACACGGAAAAGAATAGCCGGCGTTTTCAAATTTCTCCGGTTTGAAGAGCGTTTTCGAAAAGCTCCGTTTTCGTGCCGGATTAATGCGGACGGTAGACCTAAACGTAGAAATAAAGCTGTGTTTTCAAATTTCTCCCGCGTGATGTGGATGGGCCCTCATTTTTCTCAGGGTTAGAACATGTGATTCTTGTATGAAGGCGCATGATCCTTGCAAGAGGACACGTAATGCCTGGGGTAACGAAAGAATCATCTTCTCTCAATTTCCTATGGGGATACATACAAAACACAACTTCATGGTCCTTCTAAAGGTTTTGAACCTAACACCTTCCGTGTGTACACTGGTCGGACAGTCTACCTAGCAGAAATCTTGTTTTAAACCCTCACCTCTCCTTTACTGCTCCATAACTTGAGTTCTACAACAAGACTGTTCAAGCCTTGAACTAAACTGTTGGGTGGCTTCCTGCCAGACTCATGGAAAGCTGTACCACAAAACAGATATTGACCCTGTTAGTCTCAAACTCAAAAGATTAATTCTTGTTACTTGTTGTCATATATTTTCTTTAACATTTGTTTTGAGAGTTTCGTTGTGCATCAAAACCAGATCATTAGATGGCATGGTTGAGTGGGTAAGGTTGCTGGATTTTAATACGAGGTTCATGGTTCAAATCTTCTGTCCTACTACTAACCGGGCTCAGGGATTTTGCAGTCAGCCTAGTAGATTTTGTCCGTCACTCGCCTGATGGGCACGTAAAGTTTCTTGGGAAAATTGTTGAGGAAGTTCAAATAACAGAGGTACTGTAAAAGACGAACTTTTTAGGGCTAGTGAGAATCATGTTTGGGCAAGTGCATCATAGTTGAGTTTGCCCAAAGGACAAACCCAAAAATCAGTTTTCTTTACAACCTGTAGCCAAATGGTTGGCCTCCAACAAGTCAGGAAATATATACTTTTTGAATTTTCGTTTCTTTCTTGTTTCCACTATTAGTGTTGCAGAACTACATGCACATGCACTTCTATCACTGACACAAGTTAAGTCATTTTTTTTATCTTTTATCAATAAAATAAATACCTAATCGTACCTTTTTGGTACGTTCTGGCAGAATAATCAGGCTCGTTTGGTCTCGCCATGAGTATTTTGGCTAGACTACGCCACTCCAAAATACGAATCATGGCTCAACCAAACTCGCCTGGTATAATAAGTAGACGTCATATCATGTCATTTCATTCACTTCTCACAACATTTAGTGTATGCCATCTTTGACACTACACACGTTAAACGTATTATTGTAACAAAGGTGAGCATGTTAGTAACATACAAGTTAATTCAAACTGTCGTTTGATTAATTTGATGTGTTATTGCAGTTATTGTCCTTACCTTTAAGTTTATCCAGTAAATACACTGCAGCGTACCAGTTTATTGTCTCAAAACATGGATGAAGGAACTTATCAGGAGTCTTCAGCTGCCGTTCAAGCTTATAAACCCTAAATAAAGAGACCAAGTTAAAAACTACATGTATCAACATTGTCACTCTTCTGTGGCTTTACAGGACTCTTCTCAAACTCACTAATTATTCATCAAGTTTAAACAATGGAAATCATGACTGTGACAGTGTTTGGATACCTGATCTTAACTAGCCTACCTTTTTATGATTTTATTTCTCTGTTTTCTCCTTAGTTTTAGTTTCGATTGAGAAGACATATCAAACATTCAAGACAGTGTTTGAACACATTTCCAAACACCTCAAAGTTTGCCAAAAATACTCCGCTGTGTATCACACAATGTATGTTTGGAAATGTGGTCAAACACCATCTTTCATGTTTTATATGTTACATACAGCTACACCACACCCTTACCTCAGTTGAAGTTCAGCGTTGTATGTGCAAAGAAAGTTTCCCCCAAACACCAGTGAATCAACAGGAGTGAAGACTGCATGAATCCATCCTAACAAGATTGAAAGTAACGTTTAATTTGCTTACCAGCAATCCTTCACAGTGTTTAACTCTAGTTACCATGACACAGAACTTTGCGTTCCTGCAGTACCATTCCATCATGAACACTACATTCTTGTTCTCTCATAAAGGCAAACCTTTTTCATGTGGAGACAAATTCTGACCCCAATGTACAATGTACAGTGGTGAACCTGAGGTCGCTAGACTTTAAACTATTATGTTCATTTACGTAGACATGAAGTCTGCAAAGGCACATAAATTGCACAATCTTTCTTACTTAGCCCACCAGTCTATGCTTACCACCCTCTGGTATGACAACTTGATAGCTGTCTGGTGTTTTTATATAAGTCTGCCTACAAGCCAAGTGGCCCATCATGAAGTGACTAGGAGTATTTCTACTCCTCCCTAGATTGGAGGCTAGTCCATTGCAGGGTTACCCCCACCATTAAGTTTGCTGGTGCCCATTTATTATACACCCAGGTGGAGAGAAGCACTGTGAGAGTTAAGTGTCTTGCCTAAGAACACAACACAATGTCCCCAGCCAAGGCTTGAGCCCAGACGACTCAATCCATAGGTGAGCACACTAAACATGAGGCAACTGCACCTTCACGAAGCCGTTTTATATAATACAAATTTGTACCTGTTGGAATGAACATAGTTTGTCCTGGCTTCACAGGACACTTGTAGCAGTTCTTGANAGTCCATTGCAGGGTTACCCCCAGCATTAAATTGGCTGGTACCCATTTATTATACACCTGGGTGGAGAGAAGCACTGTGAGAGTTAAGTGTCTTGCCCAAGAACACAACACAATGTCCCCAGCCAAGACTTGAACCCAGACCACTCAATCCATAGGTGAGCACACTAAACATGAGGCAACTGCACCTTCACGAAGCTGTTTTATATACTACAAATTTGTACCTGTTGGAATGAACATAGTTTGTCCTGGCTTCACAGGACACTTGTAGCAGTTCTTGACCATATCACCAAAGAACACCTCACTCTGTCGCGCAGATGAAACCCACTTTTCATATTGGCTAAAGTTTTCCTCAGTTGGTTCAACAAAGTAGAACACTTTCTCGCCCTGCAACAAAACGGGTTTGAAATTACAGGAGTGGTTTAACTTTGTGGTCTACAGAAAAAAACAACACCAATACCACTGTTTAAAGCACAGTGTGGTACACACATATTTCCCCACCATCTCTGCAAGAATAGCTCTTCAAATATTTTTTTCAGTTCAAGCAAGCGGTTCTATTTTATACCAAACTTAGCACAGCAACTGTAATGTGACCAAAAATACTAAATCTTTTTCAGTTTAGAATCTTTCACTATAAAATCTTTTTACTCACTGACTGCTTAGTTTCCTTTCAGGTGGAGTATCACAATCAATCTAAACTCCCATCACTTATCTTGTAGAAAACATATTAATAAATTAATATCATTAGGAAACAAAAAAAGGTTTATCAAAATTTACCTTCAAGACATGATACCAAACAGAGGAGCCACCAAAGTCAACATGGAAGTCAGTGTAGGAATTCTTCACACCCATCAGACAATACTTTTGAACCAATGGCTTCTTGTGTGGACTGCAGATTGAAACAATATTAATTTAGGAGATCATGGGCTATTAAAGAAATCATAGAAAACAATAGAAAACAAATTTCATTGGTGTTTTGTTGCCTTGAAATGCAAGCTGTAGAAATCTTCACATACCGTGTATGTTCCCACAGTATTTTTTGTTCTTCCAGACTTTCACAAAAATAATTATAATTTGAGCTTTCCCAAGATTCAAAGTATATCTACTTCTTTGATAAGAATTCAGGAAAAAGATTCTTAGCCACTTTTGCTTGTTAATTAGACTCTTAGAGCTGATTGAATACTACAATTTAATCAAGATTCTACAGGTTAACATGTACATGTAATTTACTATATTCCTCACAGATATCTGATTGATTTGTGGGGCACGACACTTAATACTCACCTGTCCTCAGGCAGATCTGTTGGCCACACGTGACTGGCCCAGTCGATATCTCGCACAATAGCTGGAGCATGAACCAGTTGAGACATGCTGTACAAAAAGCAACCCAAGAACAACATGTAACTTTTATTGATTTAATCAAGGTTCTCATTAACAATTTAGGCACTAGAGCATACAGCTGATGCCAATTCGAGTGCTGAAGGGACAAGTCTCTAGGAGGGTCTGGGGGCAATTGCTCCCCCAGAACATTTTGAAATTGAGAGGCTCTGAAATGCTATTCTATGCATTCTCTCTAGAATATATTTTTAGCAAAAATTAGTTTTGGAAAAGGCCAAAACGCCAACAATAGTAGGGATAACAAACAGTTTTTTTTCAATTGTTATCCAACAGCCCTAGCGTCATCAAAAACATAAACCAGACCCTGACTCCATGCCACCTCTCTAGCTACAGCCTGGAATGTCCTGAGACAGACAGTCAAGGTTCTGAAACAGTCACGTTCCATAACACCTGTGTTTTCCCTAAATTACTCTTTACAACTTACACACGATATTTCATGAATAGTAGGCAGCTTATAAATCAAAGTATCCAGTTTTTTTAGCCGGCAGCCAGCACTTAATGAGAACCCCAATTTCACACATCTTATTTGCAGTGACTGTAAACAGGGCTTCTATTACAATGAGCTTGCAACTGAAACTTTCAGCTAACAACTAAAGGCTGGTTTTCACTAGTGATGCAGTCATAGTCGAGTCATAATCAAAAGCGTAAAACGATACAATCTGGTGAAAATCAAACCAACGGAGCTGGAAGCAGAACACTGATTCTGCTTACGACTCTGTCACTTACGATCTTGTGAAAACTAGATTGACGGAGTCGGAAGCAGAAGTGGAAGAATAAACCAATCACAATGTTTGATTCCAGGCCTTGTGATTGGTTGGTTCTTCCGCTTCTGCTTCCAACTCTGACCATCTAGTTTTCACCAGATCATAAGCCATGGAGTGGTAAACAGAATCAGAAGAAATGGAAATGTTCTGATTCTTCCAACTCTGATTCTGACTCTAACTATGTCACTTGTGAAAACCAGCCTTTAAAGATAACTGGCACAACTCAAGTTTGAGCAAGAATGACAATGTTATTTCATGTACCTGGTGTTAGAGAATTCCAAGCTAATCACATTTAGAATCTTCTTCTTGACTGAACTCAGGTAGTACTCTGTCCATTCTCTCATTCTCATGCGACGATCCTCCTACAAGATTACAAGACAACATTATCATTGACAACATCGGAGTGCCATTGAAGCATTCACTCCAGAACCTCCATGTGTGTCAAATATGTTCAACTTTGCCCACAAGCAGGAAAACGAGAAAACATTGCATGCAACAGTTTTCCTTTGAAATAGCAAATCAGTGTGCATGCACCTTGAGCAAGAGTATTAAATAACATTCCCTAATTCTTGTGGGTGGAGAGAGGTACATTTGTCTACACCACCAAGGCTGAAAGCAGAGCAGTGGATCTGGAGTCCTGAATGCTCTAACAATAATCACAAATTTTACGCCATAGAGGACTTATTTAATTTGCAATTGCTTAAGTTGCATTACAGCTGTGATTTCTTTTGTCTTTCTGCAGTTCCCATCATTATCATTCCATATTTCATTCCTTTCACAGGTTAAGATGGAATCACCAAATTGGCCTGCTCTCATGTACATAGTGTTAAGGGTCTTAATATCTCAGTTGGTAGAGCACTGCAGCATTAATGCAGAGGCCACAGGCTTGAATCCCATTAAAGCCCAAAATGTTTTTCAGGCTTGATTTGCAGTTGTTTAAATTGCAATTACAACTACCATGATCACATCTTCATTTTATTTTATTTTCATCATAAGAGGAAGATAAGATGCTTGTAACATCATTGAACCGTTACCTGTCTACACACATCAATGACATCCAACTCCCTCATGGAACCTGGAAGTAATCAAAGAACAAAAATAAGAAATTGAGTCTGTACAGTGAAATCTCTCAGGTGGACACCCTTGGGAATGGTTCTAGTTGTTGGCTTGAGAGAGGTGTTTGCCAGTAACAGAGAAACAACTTAACTGCAGTCAGGAACACCAAGACAGACAAGTTTGTTTTAGAAAGATGTCTTCCTCGCAGTGGTGTCTGCTTTGACAGAGTTGACTACAAACCATCCATTACAAACCAAGTGTGTAACCACACAATGTTTATCTCTGGACAGGTTTTCAACTTGCTTTTATCAACCTAGCGACTTACAGTGTGATTACATAATATGAACCAATCAAATTGTACCAATCCAAAAGCTTTGGCGATAGAGTTGAAATGGGATGCCTTAGAATTACAACATACCAACATGTCTCTCGACATCCATTACAGTAAACCTCTTGTCAGGTATAATCATTCCAAGACCTTCCTTGTTGGTAACAAGCATAGGTCTGTTAAAACCACGTGTCTCAAAGGTTTCTGGAGACAAGTCAAGGCCATTTTCAAGCTTGAGGATAACATTGTTATCTCTAGGAAAAAGAAAGGAGACAAACATTTATTTTTTATAGTTCATATTATTGATGTGAAGATGCGATGATCACTCTTCACTTTCAGTTCATATTATTGCTGATCATTTTTTTATATGTATATATATCTGAGACATTTTCTTTTGATCTGTCTTTTGGTCAAAAGACAGCAATGTTCAGAACTGCATTGGTCATGGTAAGTTAAAGCAGGCTGAATACTGAAAAGTTACATGTATTTATGCTTAGGCTTACACTGTAAACAGTTGTTTTTCCCTATATTTATGCCATTCGATAGAAAATACAGCCCATCAGAATACATGAAAGCCATTGTATACTCAATGGTATTACATATACCCAACCTTTAACATCATATTCCACATTGATTGTGTGGGCCACAGTTTCTATGGCATGGTGTATTTTAATAGTTATGTAAGGCTTGTGTGTAAACCGAGAAAATACAAGCGACTTGTGGGATATTTCATGGTATACCATGAGAAAGCACTGTGCAGCTAGTATATGTACACGTTACCCCTGCGTCCTAATGAAGTTAGAAAACTGAAATGAATTTCTTTGATACTAGAGGTACACTGGAGTTAAGTAATATTAGATGGCTTCCATACTCACTTGAATTTTCTAGTTTTCAGTTCTTTGATAAATGCAACTGTCCCTGCTTGGACAGCCTGAATGAAAGCCAGACAAGTATAAGTAAGCTTGGAAAAGCAATGGAAAAGATATTCAATGATGTAAAATGTGGAGAACAGCAAATAGGGCCACTAATA